GAAAACAGGAGGAAAAAATGATACATTTGAAATGTGATGCTGGAGGATACCCTGGAATGCCAGAAAGAAGAACAAGTGGGTCCTAGATCAAATCAAGCCTGAACTATCTCTGGAGGAAAAAAATGATAAAACTTGAAACTGTCATAGTTTTGGACCAGCATAAAAAAGTCAATCTCCAGAAAGGACAGTAAGGCTGCGAAAAGTGGATGGTGGCAGCAAAAGAGGAAGCCCAAATGCGTGATGGATTGACTGCATCAAGGAAACCACAAAACCTTCTGTTTGTAGGAGCTGAGCAGGACTGGACCATTTGGAGGCTATTCATTCGTAGAGTTGCCAGAAGTCAGAGGCAACCTGACAGCATGTAACAACAACTGGCAATGCAAGATGACAAGCACAGATCTTAATCACTGGTCCTAGCGGTTGCTCAAAGAGTTAGATTTTGGAGTCCTTTGATCATCGGTGGTGTTCACCTTTGGTGCTTGCCACTGAGCCATTTCCCCCTCCCCTTTCTTTTTTTCCTGGCAACATCCCGCCTCTTTCAAATCTGACCCTCTGTGCCATGCATTAATGAACGTAAGAAAAGAAAGGTGAGCAACCTTTTTGAAAAACCTGGAAGTTTTGACGCCTCCCTAGTTACTGATTTGGAGTTCCTGGCTTTGATGGATGGAAAAAGCTTCATCCCCATTGAGGTGTTACGGAATGACTGGGAATATTCCAACTGCTCAAAACGTTTTGGTGCGAGGCCTATGTCCCCTGGGGGCCCCCATACGTATCTTGCAGGTCATATTCTATTTAGCATCTAAAAGTGTATGTCATGTGGCAAAGTTGGCCAGCTGGGTGTGTGATGCTGTGAAGTCACTGCCAGTCAGATGGCGGAACCGCCTTGGGCTTTAGTTGAAACTTTACGTTGGCAATCCGAGATGCTGGACCAACTCTGCAGAACTAATCCAGCACCTTGAGCAGCTTCGTGAAAGTTCGGAGGTGATCATTCACCCACAAGATGTCTTTTTGAATTTACACAGGCCTCTGCTACTGACGGCTGAATAGCCAGTCCATCACTGATAGCTACAATTGTTGCTTCCATGTTATTGAAGCTGCCCTTGGCGACTTTTTCCCCAGCATCAGAAATCCCATTAACTAATTAAGGGGATATTTATCCTGGTCACTGTGTCATTTTGAAATCCCGATCTCCCCACCTCCTGTCTTCTCTGCCCATCCCAGGGTCTGGGTCTTTCTTTTCAAGGCGAGCTCAGCCGTCAAGTGAAAACTCTACAGTGACACCCCTTTACTTTGGTTGCGGCAATCATGTTTGAAAATGAAGGAGGCCAGTCTCTTCTGTTTGCATGCTCAACAAAGCAACAATGGACCTAAGAGGCAGCAGCAACCCAGTTTTAGCATGATCCAGTGCGCACGTCTCTAGTTGATCCACATTTTAATGGCTCTTTTCTCTTTCTTTTGAAAAAGAGTGACAAGTGGGAGCTGGGGTCCAACTTCACAGCCCATCATGAGTGGTGACAGGGCCATTATTAAAATGGTGCAGATAGTCAATTATATCTTCAGCCCAGGCCTTGATGGGGAGAGATTATGTGTTTTATGCTGGACAGGCCTGATGGGTTGATTATATTGATGATTTCTAGAAGGACACACTGTAAAAGCTGCCTTTTGTGAGGGTAAGACCAAAGGCCCATTAAGTGGAGCAGCATTGTGTCTGGTGACGTCAGCCACAGTTTAGGAAAGTTGATTTTGGACTACTAGTTCTAGAATTCGTTAGCCAATGTGATCACTGAGTGGAGATGCGTGGCTCCAAGGTTATGAAGGTGGTGAGCTCACTCTTGGGTTTTGGAATGAAGAATCTAGGCATGGTTTGTTTTTAATTGCTGCCCCCAGAAATCTGCAAGGATCTACTATCCAGACTTCTGAGAGCTTTAGCCCAAAAGCCCCCCAAACACACACTGGTTCTTTCAAAGATCTGTAACCAGGTGTCCACCGAGAAATAATGGCTTCTTTCAGACAAGATGAAGTGGTTTAGTTCCATGGGAGATGCAAGGTGTTACAATTCTGGTAGTCTCCTTGTTATGCTCCATGTAGGAGGTCTGTCAAAAAACTAGGCAAGGCTGAGCTCACTGTGAACTGAGTCATTATGCATCTGGTAGATTCCAGAGAAGCGCCCTTTATAGAGCATAATAGGCAGAAAGACCACCAGACCCATAATGCCTTTGCATCTTCCCTAGATCTTAGCCGTACAACTTACATACAGTATACATAGTGTGGGGAGATTCAACCCCCGCGCTCACCAGCAGCAACAAACCAGATCCAGAGATACACCACAGATCTGTAAATTTACATTTGATCACGGAATTCAAAATCCTTCTCTTCTTCTTCAGTTCAGAGACCGTGCAAGAGGTTCAGAGTAAAACTAAGCAGAGCCTCTTCCTTTTCAGCACGAGCTCTCCATCCCAGAATAGTCATGAGTGCACATCATGACTTCTACCTGTTGCTGTGTGCCAGACTCGGATGGTGGTAGGATTTATGGCACATTAGTCATTGCAGGTGGCAACCGGCAATGACTTTTCAAAACCACCGTTAGATCCTTTGTTCTGAATCCTTTCAAAGGCACGGCGTTTTTGCTCGGGTCCCGGCCGAGAGTGGCTGGGGACTGTTGGGAAACGTCAGCCTGTGTGCACCTTTAATGAAAGCTAAAGGAGTATGTGCTAATTGCCACAGATAGCCATGTAGTTTTATGGAAGGGGAGGAGGGGAGAGATGGTAGGTAAATTCCTCCAGAGATGGGAAAGCCACCCAAGGGTGCTATTCAAAAGCTACACACAATCTCAGATTGCCTGGGGTGTTTGTTCTTTGATAGAGGGCTGTGCCCCAGATTCCCCCAAAACCCAGATTAGAAACAAAAAAGAGTTTAATTTGGACTAATTTTTGTGAGGTTCAAATAGAAGCCAGATTTGATCCTTGCATGATCCTAAGTGGGCTTGCAAACCCATATATATATGGAGCACAAAGCTTCCAGACTCTTTCCCCCACCTCCTTGAAAAATAAAGGTTGTGGCTTCCATTATGGTGTCAATCCATCTCATGTTTGTTCCTCCTCTTTTCATGCTGCCTTCTTAACAACATTGAGAGGCTTCTTCCTTTCTTTATGGTCTCCAGATTTCTTGCAGAAAAACAAAAGGGAAAGCATTGTGGCCACGTTGGTTGCCTAACACAAGCTGACAAAAAGGCTGGTGATTCAAGCAGATTCAGAGGTGGAGCCCAAGCTGATATCCAGACACAAGAGGTGGCATCACAGAGGTTTCAAAACAAAACAAAACAAAACAAAAAAACAGAATTAGCTCTCTGGCTATAATGTTTTCCAGGGTAATCCAACGAATGGAAGAAATTGAACACGTTGGACTTTCCAGGATCTGATGACCTCTAAATTTTTTAGTGAAAAAAGCAGTGATTATTTTGTGATCCCTGACTGTTGGCGAACTCTGGTTTATTTGTTTGTTTGTTTGTTCTTAATCTATCCCTGAAGGTTTGTGATCTCACTATTGAGGGATGTTACAGCAGTGCCACGGGTTGGCGAGCCATTTCTGGGCACAATTCAGAGTGACGGTTCTAACTTATTAAAGCCCTAAATGGCTTGGGTTCCTAATATCTCAAGGACTGTGTCTCCCTTTATGAGCCTGCTTGGGTGTTAAGATCATCAGAGGAGGTATTTCCCTTGGTCCCACCCCCTTCACAGGTCCCTTTTATGGGAATACATAAGACAGGGCTTTCTCCTTGGCTGCCCCTAGACTGTGGAACTCCTTTCCACTGGAAGCCAGCCAGGCCCCGTCTTTTCTGTCCTTCTGCAAGCAGGTGAAGACCTTTCTCTTCAGGCAAGCTTTCCCTTAAAGACTGGCTGCCTGAGGGGTTCTTAAAGAAATTTTTGTGTCTTGTTCCTTTGAATGTTTTTGTTATTGCTTTTCCTTTCCGTTTTTTAGTGTGGTATTTGTTTGATCCATTTAGCATTTGCATCCTTACTGTTGCTAGCTTTAAGTGCTGTCTTATAATGGATGTAAGCTGGCTTGGGTCCTCTTTAAGGAGGAAGGCAGGTGAAAATATTTTAAACAAATATTCACGAAACCAAAAGGCACACACCCATCACTCTGGATTGGCTTGGTTTTCTTGGGGTGTCCTTAGAGAATAACCAAATTGGATGGAGGATAACAGTATTGTAATGACCGGATATGGGAATCCCTGGTTGGTGGAAATCAATAGAAGAGAAATGAAGCAGAAGGAGAAAACAGAGAAGAAAACTCATGAGGAGTCATGTAAAAGTATGGTTTTAGGTTTAGTGGAGATCCTCCTTCAAAGTTATGCTTTCAAGCCAAAAAGAACAGGAAAAAACAACTGGAAGGCATTCAGCTCAGTCCTAAACCAGGGGATATTTAAGAAAGTTTTTGAGATATTTGAGTAAATTATAGGCTATTGCTTATTAAAAGGAAAGCCCCCCTCTTTAATAAATAAATGCATTTTAAAATTTAATATTTTCTGTTACATTAATAACACATCACAGCCCAAATAGCCTTGGCAAATCAGTCTCAACCTCAGTGATTAACATTGCCCCCCCCAACAATGATTCAGCTGCAACTTTGGTTAATTAACTTACTCATTAGGTTGATTAAAGGCTGCAGTCCTGAAAGATAGCTGGAAAGGGAAATCTTTCTAGCTTTTCCCTGAGCGCTGTAGTGCTTTACAGCTTTGACCCTCTTTGCATACGGGCTTCCGTCGATGATCTTTACAACGGCCAGACAAGGTGGGCCAGAATATTGCTTCATTCATTTTGTTTGTTTGTTTGTGAATAGTTCCTTGAAGGAAGTTGATACTGAGTGCCAAGATTGGGCGTGAACATGTAGAAGACAACTGTGTTCCTTTTTAAAGATGATGATGATGATGAGGTCTGGGGTTGTAACAATGATGACGTAATGTTGAGTCAATTCTGACTTGAACCAATTCTTTCCAGGGGTTTCCAGACAGAGAATCCTCAGAAGTGGGTTTCCCTGGCTGCACTCCTCAGACGCCCAGCAGTGGGGGAACTGAACTCCCAAACTCTGGCTCTCTAGCCAGAGACCTGAACCATTGAACTATCCAGCCAGTTCTATCCAAAGATATTGGTGGTTTACTAAAGGCCATGTGCTGCAGTCCAAAAATAAGGGAAAGGGAAACCACCTAGTGCTGTAACCATTATACCCAGTTGCCCCAGATCAACATCTCCGAAGCGTTGTGCAAAAATCCGGTTGGAATCGGGACATCTGGAATAAAATCCTAATGCTTTGGCTGTTTTCCCTTCTTAACATTGATCTAGATACAGATAGTTATAAACCATAGATCTTTTTTAAAAATCCCCATGATGAAGAATTTGCAATTTTGGCCACGTGAGAAAATGGAAGAAATGAGGGAGCAGAGGTGAGCAAATACAGCAGTATTTTTTTGGGGGGGGGGAGGGAATCTGATCCTCAACTGAGAAACAAGAGGTTTTGTCTAATTCCCCATCTCTCTCGCCATGAAAGCTGCTGAGTGGAGAACATGAAAGCCTATAAAAACTCCTATCTACACCAAGGTTACACATTCTCCCCCACTGGAGAGAAAATAGAATCAAGTCCAAAAGGAGCGTTTGGGCCTTTCAGTGGAATTATTTATTGGCCTGCGGAGCTCAAGGAGGCAACCAGAACAGATGGAGGTTCTCTACCTGATGTGGGGTGGCTTGCCCGTATTCCTTCCTTAGGGAATCTCGGCGGAGGAGAGGATGGCGCTTGTTCAGCAGGCAGGCAAGCTGCCATAACGCGCTGAGCAGGGGAGAGAAATAATGGAGAAAATAACTGGATGATTCTCTCAACAAATCTCCTTGCCCTCGGTGAGGATATAGGCCCCAAAAGAGGCAGCTTCTTAGGGATTGGATCAAAAGACCTCTTTCATGTCCTTGTTCCAGAAGGCAGTGGCATGCAGTGGTGAGAAGCTCACGCGTGTGCATGGTTGTGTAACTCAGAGGGTGAGCTCGGCCTTGGCCCCTTTTCTTCTCTTGCCCCGGGCCTCCCTTAGGGAACTTGTCCTAGCTTGGTCTCAAAACCTTCCAGTTCAGGCCGTGTCTCCCAGGTGAGCCACAGTTAGGTGTGTCTGAAGTGCTTGCCTGTCCAGTTGATCTCCCATATTGGAGAACAGTGGGGTTTGTAGTCCAGGAAAAATCCCATTCCTCCCTCACCTGCCGTGCCAGCTTTTGATGCAAAGTCCAGGAGTGGCTGCTGCTCTGTAAGGAACGGGGTAACTTGGAGGGGGCTTCGGATGACATGGGTCACTAACTGCTTTTTAAAGATAACTCTCCCAAACTTGGATCTAAACAGCCGTTTCTTAAGGCCCCACTCTGCCTTCACCCGGCACGTTTGCTGCGTGCTGCTTCTTTCCTTCCCACCTCCCTTGCCCCACTTGCAGATCGTTAGAAGAAGAAACAATTACTATGCAAATCATTAATGTTATCACAGCCATTCCCCATGACTGGAACCACAAATATCAAAGCTCTGGCTGCATCTGAAGCAGCTTCATTAGCCACCATCAAAAAGTTGCTCATCCCCTCGCATCGAACAGGGTGCTGCTGAGGAAACTGGATCTAACTGGGGATGGGTGGGAGATCCAAGCGCAACTCTTGTCTCCCTCCAAATATCAGTCTGTCTAGTGGCAGGGAGTTCTACAGCCCAGCCTAAAGTAGGTTTATCCTCATTCCTCTCCAGGTTGAGAGAGATCAATGTCTGAAGCTTGGCTTCGAAGCCTTCTGGTTGTTGAAGCCTTTCCCTCCCCCCAGGTGAACCATGTATATTATTTATTCATTTAAAATATGTTTATCCCATCTTTCTCCTTAAAAGGGACCCGAGGCAGCTTACTTCATTAAAACCCAATGTTTAAAACAGAAATATACAGAAAGAATTAAACAAACATTAGATTAAAACGGTAAACAAAAAGCGACACCAAAAACCGATTCTTAATATTTATTTTATTTATTGTATTTATATCCCACCTATCTAGTTAATTACGACCACTCTAGGCGGCTTCAATGCAGTAAAGGCACATCCATCCATTTGAAAAAAACTCTCTGGGGCAGGTGGTCATTAAAGGGAAAGCCTGCCTGGAGAGAAAGATCTTCTTGGCCTGCCAGCAGGAGAGCAAAGCTGTGGCCAGACTGGCTTCTAGTGGCAGGGAGTTCCAGAGTCCAAAGGAGCAGCCACCAAGAAGGCCCTCTCTTGTGTCGCCACCACAAGAGAGGTGGTGGGACTGAGGGAGAGTCTTTTCTGATGATGAGGTTCTGTAAGGTGAGTATAAGTCGGGGAGGACTCCCAGAATGGGGGGATTATGTGCTTTGTAGTCCAGGAGGCCAGGAAGTCCCATCCTTACCTCTCCTGCTGGATTCTGTTGTTGCTCAATAAGAAGTCCTTTGTGTCTATAAACGCAGAGCATGTAGCCACTGGCCTCCCAATAACCGGGGGGGGGGACACCCTCTTTTGCCAAAGAACCACCCATTTCTGTTCATTGTCGGGGCCAGGGAGAGGGAATGTATGAGAGAGGGAGAGAGAGACTGTTCCAGCTTCCAGCCCATCTCTGAAATTAAAAAGGTTATTTGAGACACTGCCAGTTTCTTTGATCTGCTAAAGCAAAAGACGCTGATAAATCTTAAGGGGGTCCAAATTAATAGAGAAGAGATTGATTTTTGTCTCCCCCTCCCCCTCATCTTTCGTTTGGAGATGCATGGCCCTGTTTTATGAGCCCTCCTGCCTTCCCGGTGAAATTGGGGGGAAATGACACTGAGGGGCCGGGCAGATGAGGAAAGATGGGTACCAGGTGGGTAATTGCTCCCAAGCAATCAGAGTCTCTTGATTGACGGGGGGGAGGGGTATTGGAGTTCCAGAAGGAAGAACTCAAGCAGGCAATGACACAACACACATATGGTCTGGAATGGACTGCCCTCCCCTGAGCCTCACAAGCATTTACATAGATATGGGAAGAATAACCTTGATTTTTAACATGCAGCATTGCCGGGCCCCCTCCCTCTGTAGTGTTCTTCATGTTTCTGATTTGTCGGAAGTAACCGAAACCAGGGGTTTTCTGTGTGTTTTCAGAGTGAGAGATCAGGGTGGAATTGCTGGATATCGGATTATAATTCCCAGAATTCCCCATTCTGGGAGTTGTGCCTGATTTACAGGCACCTTAGACACCTAAGTGTGGCTCACCTGGGAGAACAAGGCCTAACCCAAAGGCTTTGAGGCCGAGCTCCACCCAAGCTTCCTGTTCCTGCCCCAATGCTAGCTGGGAGATTTCTTTCTGAACAAGGAGCTAGGAAGAGCTAGGCCTAGCTAAATTGCTGTTGAGGCCACTCTCCAGGTGAGCCACATTTAGGTTATTACCCTGTTTCCCTGAAATTAAGACAGGGTTTTATATGAATTTTTGCTCCAAAAAAGTACATTAGGACTTATTTTCAGGGGATTTTTTTTCATGTACAGCCACCTACATTTATTCAAATGCTGTCATGTCATCTTCTGGTTACTGCACAAGGGTGGAGGGCAGGGTTTCACTTAACTGGGGCTAATTTTTGGGGTAGGGCTTCTATGACGAACATCCTGTAAAATCACACTAAGGCTTATTTTCACGTTAGGTCTTATTTTCAGGGAAACAGTATTCTGAGAACTGCTGGATAGCTCAAGGGTTGAGGTCTCTGGCTGTGCAGCCAGAGGTTGGGAGTTCGATTCCCCACTCGACCTTGGTAGGGGCTGGGCTGGATAATCTACACAGGGTCCCTTCTAGCTCTGCAGTTCTATAATCTATGCAGGGTCCCTTCTAGCTCTGCGGTTCTATGATTATGATGATAGTGATGATGAATATCTGAGTGCCAAGTCAAAAACATTATGGTGTGCAGAATCCGAAAGCAACTGGTTTCCAAGCTATATGTTAGTCTGTGAAATCCAAGTTGGGCTGCTTTGCTTAAAAGCCATGGGCCAAACCACAATCTACCCTATCCCTCGTGCACCCAAACACACAACCCTTCTCAAGGCCCTCCCCCTGGTCATTTCTACCGGGGAGCGCCAATAAATAAATGCCCTTTTGGTCTTTGCTCTGATCATTAGTTAGAAGCCTTCCGCTCCGGAGGTTTGTTATAATGAAAGGCACTGAACTTTGGAGGGATCTCAATTAAGTGCAGCCAGTGCCCTTGATGGCCGGGGAAAGAGAGAGAAATGCCAGACTCAAATTATACTGCAGTCACCATCCTGATCACCATTTACTTCTCCAGCGGTGGCGTGAGCATATGTCTGAACTTTGCTCCCTTCCTGTGTTGGTGCCTCAGCACAAATTGGTCTTTGCTTCTCTGTGTGTTTGGCCATTCCTGGTCATGAGGAAGAGAGGGGTCTTGGCTTTGCGGGGCGAGGCTGGTCGTGGCTGGTCCGCTGTGGCAGTGTCCAAGCTGGAGAACAGCCTCGGATGCAGAGGAGAAGAAGCCCAGCTGAGGACTAGAAACACCAGTTGCAGATTCTGGGCCCAGATCTTGATCCGAAAGCCTAATTTTGGACTTTAGCTAAGGACCCTTTTGAAGCCAAGAACCTGAAAAGTGGAATGCGCCTCCCTCTAAAGATGGCATCCTTCAGAATCAACATTCTTCAAGAATCATTCTTCAGCTTCTACCGAACATCTTCCCAGTGACTTCTTTCCAGTGTGGGCAACGCAGGAGGGAGGATGTGATGGAGAGATTCTGGATAATGTGATATGGAGCACACAACCACCACTTTAAGGGCTTCTTGAAAGAGGTGGAGCTTAGGAGAGACTCCACCCCCCTGCCTGACCTGGTGGCCCCAAGGGATGGGCTCAGAGCTGTCCCTGGTGCTGAAAGGGCAACCTGATTCTCTCTCGGTTCCTTGAGTGGGTCATGGAGCCCTCTCTTTCTCAGCCCCAGTGCCTTCTGGATGAGCTACGCTGCATCCTCCCCAGGCAGCATGATGGGGGTTGTAATACACAACAGTGTAGAGTTCTCTTTCTCAGCCATGCGAAGGACCAGCAGGAAGATCATTTCCAATTAAGTTTCTGAGGAGACAGCTCATTCCAGGTGCTCTCTCTCTCTCTCTTTAAAGTCATCTGCCCAACCCACCCGATCTTCCTAGGCTAGGCTGCTCCGTGGAACCACCCCGAGGGAGATCCAAACATCATCCACAAAGGGGCAGGGTCTTCTGTGTGGTGGCACCGACGTAGGAGGCAACAATTTGTT